CCCCTCGGGCGGGAGGCGTGGGGCGCTGCATAGAAAAAGCGGGCGGCCGGCGCGGAGCTGTCACCCCGCGCGCGCGCAGGCTGCGCACCGAGCCCTAACCCCGGCGACCCGGTGCAGCCTGGGGGTGGGGTGGGGGGGACCCCCCGGGAGCGCGGAGTGAGCCATGGCCACCACCAATGGGGCCGTGGAAAACGGCCAGCCCGACAAGAAGCCGCCGCCGGCCCTGCCGCGCCCCATCCGCAACTTGGAGGTCAAGTTCACCAAGGTGAGGGCGAGGCGGGTCCTTCCCTTCCGACGGCCCCAGCCGGAGCCTGGCCGGGGTGGGGGTGGAGGGGTGCGCACAGCCAGGCTGGGGGTAACCCCTTGGATCTAAGGTCATCTCCAGAGGGAACCCGCCCCACTAGGCACGCTCCAAGAGGGGGTTCGAAACCAGACCCTCGAGTCGGAAGGTTGCACCCCGCGCCCCCCATCCCCACCCCACCCCAGCTTTGCAGACCGCAGAGGTGCGTGCTGCAGGGACGGCGGCCCAGGCCCACTCTCTCCAGGCCCTGGGGCTGGGGACAGTCAGAAGACACCCAAGGCTTGAGCTTGTAAGGTCCCCCCCACAAGAAACCGTCAAGCCCGGTGGCGCCCCAGTGCTTGGCCTGCACCCGGTTCATCAGCAGGGCCGGGTGGGAGGGCGGCGGGGGGAGAAGGACGGAGCGATCTCCAAAGGGAACCTGGACGGAACGTCCAGGCCTGGGCCTGGGGCCGGTGGCCAGGCCAGGACTCACTGGCCCGGGAGTTGGAGGCCCCCCGGCTTTGCTTCTCTGAGTTGTTTTCTTGGGAGGCAGAGCCCTGAAAACACCCGGGAAGATGGCGAGGCCCGAAGGTGCGGCCCGGAGCCTTTCCCGGGGGAAGGGAGGACAGCTCCAGGCTTTCTTGAGTGGTGCTTTTCGGTGCCCACTTGAATCTAGGGTACTTGAGGGGTACGGCCCCGGAGCAGCCTTTGATTTCCTATCTCTACATTCTATTCTCCTTCCTTTTGCATGTATAACCTGTCCCTTCCCAGCTGCTGTGGACAGGACACTTAGGAAACTCAAAAGTAGCAAAAGATCTCTCTCCAAGACTTCTAATCAAGAAGCAAAAGTGGCTGGTCCCTGTGTGTGGCTTTCACATTTCCACCTCCAGCCACTGAAACCCTAGAGTTGATTGTGCCAAGATATGAGACATTTAAATTAGGAGGCATTTCAATTAGCCGTGTTGTGAGGTGAGGGGTCTGTAATCTACAAAGGCGCATGCATGCAAAGGCCGGGGATTGTTTTCAATGTCCTTCCCTTGGTCCTATCTCCTTGAGAGGGAAAATTACAACACACATTGTGGTTAATAGTTTTGGCTGTTGGTTGGTGGGTTGGTTTTACGCGAACACTCACGCTTGGCTGCTGTTGATGTACGTGGTATTTTGTTTTTGTTTTTAACAGACTTTTGTAAAACTATAGAAACCAGAAAGTAAACATAAGATGGTTTCTTTGCTCGGTACCTGTGAGGTCCCATACGCTGTTTGGCCCCAGAAGGAAAGTTGTCTGCTTTCCCAGCCATTTCTTTAGACCCTTTGACTGGGTAAATGCAGCAGTAATGGCGGAGGCTTCCTGGGCATGAGTGGCTATTGTGCTGGTGGCTGCATGGCGGGTACACACCACCCATCTGCAATCTGTCCAGGCTGAAATACTGTGAGGTGAGATCATCAAAGGACTGAGCCTTCACACCTCTGCCTGCTTTGCCCTTGTTCCTTGCACACCTGTGTGTGTGTGCTGGCCTCCAGAGCCATTAGAGCACCAAGGAGCAGCCTGTGCGGCCGGCTGAGGGTGAGCCCTGCAGTTGGGGAGCTTGGGGCTGAGAAGCAGGCGGCCGCAGCAGCGTCTGCCCCAGAAACAAGAGGAAGGGAGCAAGTAGGACAAACTGGAAGTTCAGAGCAGCGGCCTGGGGCAGGCAGGCCGCCTCATGAAGGGTGAAACAGCCAAGATCCTATGGTTTTCAAAAGCAATTCGTGACTCTTCTTCACCATAGAAGATTGGTTTGAGCCCGGGCCTGTGGGCCAGTTCTGGATGAAGACTTGGTCAAAACCCGTTCATGTGTTCTCAGATTTGAACCTCAGGCCTCGGGTCCTGTGCTGAGATTATAGTGAAGCATAAATCTTTCTGGGGTCTCTCCCTACACCTGGGTATACGGCAGCCTCTTCTAGTTTAGGGGGTTCCTTTCTTTATAAAGTTTCTCCCAGTAGCAAAGATAAAACTGTTCGGTTAAAAAAACCAGCTTGTATCCTCTCTTTTGTGAAAACTAAAATTCCCCCAAAACTCCTTTAAAAAAAAAAAGACTCCTTTTGAGCTTAGTTGAGTATGTAGCATCATGGCCAATGGAAGTTTCTGGACACAATGCCAGCAACATTAACTTATGCAACCTCCTTCACCTCCACCAGTGCTACCTTCAAACTCGAGTTTTGCTTCTTCAGTAAAATGTGAATTCTGCCCACAGCTTGCCATTGCTTTAATTTTATGTCTTTGTCGTATGCATTTCACACCAGTTCACAAGTGGAAGATCGTTTTTTTCTAGACCTTTCGTCCTGATTTGAGTCTCAAAGCAATTCGGCCAGCATCCTCGGTAGATCATGGTAGACTTTTTTTTTTTTTTTGGCTTCATTTGTGTCGCTTGTTTGTTTTAATGTGGAGAAAATAACAGTAGAAACCACTGATTGATTAGTAAGATAACTTCAGTAAGGTAAAAGACATACAGGAAGGGTTTAGCAACCTGAAGGTGGTCCTATAGGCTACAGATCAATGTCACGCACCACCAAGTAGATTTTTTTTTTTTGAGGAGATGAAATACAGACACTCGATCATGGAACCGGTTGCTATCTCCTCCTCCCCCCCCCATTTCAATTCTGTTTGGCCACCTTCTCATTTTCCCTCCCCTTTGGAATTAATACCAGGAAGGATGTAGAATCAGCAGTTTTCCCCGACAGTCTCTATTACCTAAGCCACGAAATTTCATCTTCCTTTAAATGGGCCTCTTCGCGGCCATGCTCTGCTCTCAGCTCGAACCTAACTCCTCCGCTTACTAATGTCTCGCTGTGACTGGGTGATTACTGGCTGCATGGCAAAAGTGAAGTCTTGGATTTGGTTTCAGCTGGAAGAATAACGCTGTAATTGTAGCCTGGTCTTTTCCTCGCACACTTCCCTGGGGGCCTGGCCTGAGATGGAAGGCACCCAGCTTCCAGAGATTGGGCCGTTACAAGCTCAGCTCTCAACTCTAAAGATGGGGGCAGATGTTCCCTGCCCACCTGCCCATCCAAGAGTTTGGCCTCCCCCCACGAGGAAGCTTGGGTGGGCCACCATTCTTGATGAACTTCAGCACTGCTACAAGAGAGCCCAATGCCTCTTCCTGTCCATGGTCCTCCAGACACCGGTGTTCCTAATGAATCTACTCCACCACCACTGACATTAGCCTTATTGGCACAGTTTGTCCTTGAAGCAATTTAAAGAGAAGCAGAAAGAGATACGTGTATAGGATATGCATTTAGATATAGAAGCAGAATCTGGTAAGCTAGTTCAGTCTTCAGAAACCATCTTTGGGCTGGATGGGAAGGGCTCATGCCTATAATCCTAACTACTGTGTAGAGGCTGAGCTCCAGAGGATCATGACTGGAGGGGAAGCCCAGGCAGAAAAGTCTGTGTGACTCCGTCTCCAAAACAAGCAGCAAAAAGTCATAGTGGAGGCATGGATTCAGTAGTAGGTCGCCAGCCATGAGCAAGAAAGCAGAGATGGAGCTGGAAGCCCCAAGTTCAAGCCCTAGTCTCAGCACAACGCTAAATAAGTAAATAACGGATGGCATTTTATTTGATCTTGGTATTGTAAAGGTAGGCTGCTAGCCGTTGCTGCCACCGCGGTCTTTCCCAGGCTGCACTGGGCGGTAGTGACAAAGCTCCACGTGACCCTGTGTGTCCCCTGGCTGGGTCGGCCGGGACCTCAGGCCATACTCAGAGCCTCACGTGACTTGTGTATCTGGTTCCTAGTTGTTTTCCAAAAGGCTTTGCTTCAGAGGCAGTTAGAGCGAAACTGAGATTAAATAGAAATGTATCCAATGCGTGCCCTTTCCAATTGGTTTTTTTTCCCTTTAGTTTTTATGCTTTTTTTCCCCCTAGAGAACAAATAATCTTATATTTAGCTCTGTTCTGGATAACTGAGGTTCTCTGTGAGATGAGCTTTGTGAGTTATATATTTGGGGCTGTCCAGGATGATCTGAATAGAATGTGAACGTTTGCTAATGTGGATTTTTTTTTAATTTATTTTTAATTTTTATTTATTTTGCCAGTCCTGGGGTTGAACTCCGGGCCTGCCTGGGCACTGCCCCTGAGCTTTTATCCTCCAGGCTAGTGCTCTACCAGTTGAGCCACACCTCTACTTCTGGCTTTTTAGTAGCTAATTGGAGATAAGAGTCATGGACCTTCTTGCCTGGGCTGGCTTCGAACCATGATCCTTGGAACTCAGCCTCCTGAGTAGCTAGGATTACAAGCGTGAGCCACCAGCACCTGGGCTTCTAAAGCAGATATTTAACTCTGTATTCCAACATTGGTTTTTATCATGCCCAACAGGAAATTTTACATATTTTAAAGGGAATAGAGTGGACCCGGGCTTTCATAGCACTGCTGACAGCTCTAGAGCATTGGCAAAATCTTATATATAGAACCTTAGCATGTGTCAAAACAGCAAGGAGGAGGGGCCTCACTGCTGATAGAACCTTCCGGGCTAGGTGATATAGATATATGAGGAATTATTAAGAAAAAATGCAACAGGACTTCAGTTTTATTATGCCGCTCTGTTGGTCTCTCCGCGTGATTCTGCATGTCCTGTCGGCCTCGGAGTCTCATCTGTACACCATCAAGGGAGATGTGGGGGGCAGGGGGTGGGTGGCGGTGAGGACGAAAGCAGACAAGACGTTACCTAAGGTCCTTAGCATGTTGAAAATTGTATGATTTTGATTGAAACCTAATGCGTTGTACTTCCTTGCCCGGATAGATATTTATCAACAACGACTGGCACGAATCCAAGAGTGGAAAAAAGTTTGCCACATATAACCCTTCCACCCTGACGAAAATCTGTGATGTGGAAGAAGGCGATAAGGTGGGTCCCTCAGTAATTCGATTATTGATCAAGGAAGGATGGGGGAGGGGGGGAATGGGGCAGGGGGGGGATCCCAGTGCAGGTTTGCCCTCGGGGTAGGGGCCTGGGAGCCCCGGCAGCTGCTCCGAGTGTATGGCTCTGACTCGAGGCCCAGCATGGGATCAATTACAGGCAGTCTTCTGCACAGAGTCCCCCTCTGGTGCTAGATCTTTCTGCATCTTCGAGGATGACCTCAGCTATCCTGTCATATGGCGAAAGCAAAGGTTTTCATCAATTATTAGAAGCTGGGGGCATTAAGAAATCCTTGCTGAGAGCGTTTCCGGCTGGTGTATTTCACCCAAGGGAGCACACTTTTAGGAGACACTTAAAAAAAAAAAAAAAGACTTGAAGGAAGAAAGACTGGCGTATTCAGGTGAGGCACTGTCACGTGACCTCCGGGTTTGGTTTGGTTTGGTTTTTTTTTTTTTCCCTCTCTACTAGGTATTTACGTGACCGTGTAAAACTGCAGTGCATGTAGCCCTGTAGCCAATGCAGGTTCCATTTTGTCATAGAGAAGCTAAGGGATTTTTGAATGTAGCGTTTATGCTTTATTATTATTATTATTATTTTCTCGGTTGGTCATGGGGCTTGAACTCAGGGCCTGGGCACTGTTCCTGGACTTTTTTTTTGCTCAAGGCTAGCCTAGCATTCAACCACTTTGAGCCACAGCACCACTTCTGGTTTTCTAGTGGTTTATTGGAGATAAGAGTCTCATGGACTTTCCTGCCCAGGCTGGCTTTGAACTGTGATCCTCAGATCTCAGCCTCCTGAGGAGCTGGGATTACAGGAGTGAGCCACCGACACCTGGCTTCTTTTATACATTTTAAGGGCATAAAGTCTATTTCAAATGGAATTGTCTGTGAAGGAAATGTTAAGGCAAAGAGAGAAAAGAAAGATGACAGTCTTTAACTGCTAGAGTATTGAACAGATCCTCGCTCTCACTCCCCCCCCCCCCCCCCGTAAGTTTCAAACTTGCTAAGCAGGTATCTCTATGACATAAGCCATACTTCCAGACCATTTTCTCTCTGTTTATTTTTGAGATAAGGTCTCACTTTTTTCAGGCTTGGACCTTGATCCTCCTGTCCGGCTATCCCATTGTAAATGGGATTATACTTGTGCAATGCCACACAGCTTTTTCTGTTGAGATGAGGTCTCAAAACTGTTCTCTCTGTGTGTGTGTGTGTGTGTGTGTGTGTGTGTGTGTTGTTTTTCTTGCTCAGGCTTCCCTAAAATCCAAATATTCCTTATCTGCAGAGATGGAATGACAAACCAGAGCAACCTTGCCCCCAGATTTGTCCACTCCAACCCCTCCCCACTTTTAATTAGTCCTGGGGCTTAAACTCAGGGCCTAGAAACTGTCCTTAAGCTTTTGTGCTCAAGCTAGCACTGTATCACAGTGCCACTTCTGGCTTTTTGGTGGTTCGTTGAAGGTAAGAGTCTTGTGGACTTCTCTGCCTGGGCTGGCTTCGAACCATGATCCTCAGATCCCAACCTCCTGAGTAGTGGCATAAGCCACCTGCCGGTGGCTCTTTTCCTTTTTCAAGATGGAGTCTTGCTGTGTTTCCCAGATAGGTTTCTCACTCCTGGGCTCCCGCCATCCTCCCTCCTCAGCCTCCTGCATAGCTGGGACTACAGGCTGTCCAGAGAGGTGCTTAATAGTGTATTAGTGATTTGAAGCTGGTGGGGTGAGGATGTGTGAATGCAGTTGGATTTTCTTGTCCCAGTGTCGGCTTACGGGGACATTCACAGGGACGCCTTGCAGGGGTCTTCCTCCCAAACTTTTCTCAAGCTGGGTTTACAGAGGAGCCTGGGGAAGCTGGGAAGGTCAGAAGGGAGGGCCTGGCACCGGCTGGACTTCCAGGGATGGACGGCAGGTTTGCCTGGCCGCTGTCTGGCATGGAGGCTTGGCAGCCCTTCATCGCCCTGTCAGCACCCAGACCCTTGCTGCCTGTCATCTCGAAAATAAAAGGTGGTGGAGGGTCCCCTAAATAACCCTCACTTCTTTCTTTTTTTGAAAAAGATTGAGGGGAACAGGCGCGGTGGCACACACTTATAATCCCAGTGACTCAGGAGGCAGAAGTAGAGGAATCACAGTCTTAGAATGACCTGGACGAAAGCGCGAGACCCCATCTGAAAAGAAAACCAACCGTAGCACTAAAGGGCTAGAGGCGGGGCGCAGGTGGTAGGATGTCTGCCTAGTGCCACTGAGGTCCTGAGCTCAAACCTTACTACCTAAAACCATCCAACCTCCAGAAGACTGGGGAGCAGGGAAGTAAAGCTGCGTGGTGGACGGAACCCTCACCTGCCACAGGCCTTGGGGAGAAGAAAGAAAAAGCAGAGTTCTGACACGCTTTCTGTCCCCACAGCCCGATGTGGACAAGGCCGTGGAGGCCGCACAAGCCGCCTTCCAGAGGGGGTCCCCGTGGCGCCGGCTCGATGGCCTGAGTCGTGGCCGGTTGCTACACCAGCTGGCCGACCTGGTGGAAAGGGACCGCGCCATCTTGGCTGTGAGTACTGGGCGGGGAGGGGCTCACTGAGGGCCTGTGCCCACAGGATTTTAATTTTTTTCGGGGCGGGGGGCGTGGAGGGGTGCTACTAGAGCTCGAACTCACGAGCTCTCGGCTTTTTCTGTCAAGGCTGGCACTTTGCCACTTGAGCCACGGCTCCACTTGCAGCTTTTTGGTAGTTAATTGGGGATCAGAGTCTCACGGACTTTTCTGCCACTGAGGCTGGCCTCCAGTTTAAGTCCTCAGATGAATGGTTCAATTATTTTACTTGTTCCCGGACTTGAGATATTCACAGATGGTCACCACGGGCTGGACTGTGTGCTGGTCCAACCTTGACATTTGCACGTTAATGTTTTGTTGCTGTTGGTGGTGGTGGTGTGTGTGTGTAGGGGAGTGTTGGTTGAACTCAAGACCGCACACTCTTGCTTGGCTGTCTTGCTCTTGACTGATGCTCTACCACTTGAGCCATACCCCCAGCCTGGCATTTTGCTGGTTAATTGGAGAAAAGGTTCTCTCCACCTTTTCTGTCCGGGCTGGCCTTGACCTTCCATCCTCAGATCTCAGCCTCCTGAGTAATTAGGTTGACAGGTGTGAGCTACCAGCGCCAGGCTGGAGATCTATGGCCAACCATGCTGTGTCCCTGTCCTGTCTCCAAACTTGTTCCAGACTTTGAGGCTCAGAGCAAACCTCCTTTGTGTGTTTTCATCCCCCCTCTGGGATTTAAGGAGATGTGTTGTTGTGATGCTGGGTTCGAGGAGAGAATGAGCACCTTGCAGCACCCAGAGGTGTCTTGACTGGACGGGGCCGGGTGTGCCCCGCTCTCTCTGGGGACGGATGCGCCACGGAAGCTTCCGGCTTCCCCCTGAGCTTCACTCTCAAGCTGCCAGACTGGCTTTCTCAAAAACATTTCTGTTTTCTCTGGGCGTGAGCTCATCAGTCTGCAATGTCCCCAGAGAGGCCATGCCTGCCCCTGCCCTCCGCTGTCCGAGCTGTCCCTGGGGACATGGCGATGTACCCGCACTCGCCCTGCCGCTCAGGCCACACTGGGCTCTGATAGAACCCCATGGGGGAGTGGCGATCCTCCGCTTCAGCTTCACCGGGAAGAATGCCCCCCTGCCCTCCCCACCCCAGAAGGAAGATCCAGCTCACACCGGTCAGCCTCACTATCTAGGAGGCTGAGGTGCGAGGATGGAGATTCAAAGCCAGCCTGAGCAAGAGAGTCCATGAGATTCCTGTGTTAACCAGTTAAAAACTGAAAATCTCAATACTGGCCCGGGTGTGGAGGGAGGGAGGGAGAAACAGAAATAAAGAGAGAAAGAGAATGACAGAAAGAACCAAGGGAGGGAGGGAAGGGAGAGAAGGAAGGAAGGAAAAGAAAGAGGGAGGGAAGGAGGGAGGGAGGAGCGAGGGTGGGTGATGTGATGGAGAGCTGGATCTCCTTCCTTCCTCCTTCCTTCCCTCCTTCCTTCCTCCTTTCTTCCTCCTTCCTACCTCCTTCATCTTTCCTTCCTTCCTGCTTCCTTCCCTTCATTTCTTCCCTCCCTCATTCCTTTCTTTAAGAATTTTCCATCTGTATTCATTCTAACATGAGTTTTTCTTGGATAAATTCCATACAATCAATTCGAAATTTGTATATTGTCATCCCAGTAAGCTATCTTATACAAAATAAATGATTTAAAAAACAATAGTGCTCCTAGAAAGCTCACCACGCCCCTGGCCTGTCAGCACTTGACCTGTTGGATATCTAAACCTATTTCAAAGATGGAGAAAATGGGTTACCCAGCCAGGGATGGAAAACCAGGAGACGGAAAAGAGGCTCCATGCCCCAAACTTCCCCACGAGCATAGCAACACCACCCTCTCGTCCTGTGCCAGGAAAGAGTTAAGCTCGACCCCTGACCCCCCAGCTCATCCACAAACAAGCAGATACTCCCAGGAGTGGCCGCTTGCGGGGTTCTGGCATTATCTGCCATTGCTAGGCTTCTCCTTAGTAAATAAAAATTCCAACTTGCAAAGCCCATCAATTGGATGTCTCTCCCTCCCTCACCACCCCCTCTTTGGTGCCAGTACTTGAACTTGAACTCAGGGCCTGGGCGCTATCCCTTGGCCTTTTTTCTCAATGCTGGTACTATACGTTGCGTGGACCCTGGGCCCTGAGTCCTGGGCTCGGGGTGGCCCCACGCGTGCGCCCTGGGGTGAGAGCGCGGGACGTCATGGGGGGGGGTTCCTTTCTTCCTTCCCACGGCATCCTCACCCCCTCACCCCACGGAGGCGCACGTGGCGAGCAGGAATTCAGCCGAGGGCCGTGTGTGCGGGTGGTCACTTCCTGTGCGCTCGGATGACTGGACATCTCAGCTCGGGGCTCCACTAAGGCTGTTTTGTCTGACGGACAAAGGGGTTCTCTTTCACCCAGGCTGGAAATAGAAAAGAATCCCCACCATTGAGCCCTGCGTACTCGCCCGGGTACCCCACCTCCCCCCAGCCTTGGGCTGGTGAGCAAGTCCCCCACACCCCACACCCCATTCTGCATCCGGATGCACACATTGTGCTGGAGGCATGGTCATTCTCCACAGCCCTGCCCAGCCCCCCAAAACACACCCTCTCCCTCGCCCTCGCCCTCGCCCTCTCCTTCTCTCTTTCCATTACTAGGGCTTGGCCTCTTGCTTGGCTTTTTCTGGCAAAGCTGGCGCTCTACCACTTGAGCTATACCTCCACCCCCAGCTTGGGGCTAGTTCATTGGAGCTAAGCGTCTCTCTCCTGTATCTGCCTGGGGCTGGCTCCAACCTGCGATCCTCAGCCCTCAGCCTCCTGAGTAGTGAGGATGGCAGCCGAGTGTCCCGTTTTCTGAACAGCGCAGAGGATGGGCGTGCAGAGCGTGATGTCCCAGGGCCCGTGGGGCTTTTGTTGGTTTGTTTTGTCTCCCACCCCATCTTTAATCACGGGACGGCTAAGGGAAAGCACGCTCATCGCCACGCCGTCTACCCACTTGTCCCTGCAGACGCTGGAGACCATGGACACGGGCAAGCCGTTCCTCCACGCCTTCTTCATCGACCTGGAAGGCTGCATTAAGACCCTGCGATACTTCGCAGGGTGGGCAGACAAAATCCAAGGCAGGAGCATCCCCACGGGTGAGCAGGACAGACCCTTATCTCTAGTGGGGTTCTCTTTGGGGGTCGGTGCTCCCCAGGATTCCCCTTCCTGGCCCATCCCTCCTTCCTCCCCGCCCCCCCCACCATGGCACTGTGTTCAGCCTTTCTCTAGGAAAAGCCATTCCTGAGGGGACTCAGGTGGAACTCAGCGAGGGCCGTCCCTGTGTCTGTCTTGTCTTTCAATGCCTCTCTGCTTTCTGTGTCTCTTGCAGATGACAACGTGGTCTGCTTCACCAGACACGAGCCCATCGGCGTGTGCGGGGCCATCACTCCAGTGAGTGCCGCGGCTGCGCTCTACCCAGGGAGGGCTTCCATCTCTTTGGAACCAACAGGAGCTTGGGTTTTGGTCCACCGTAACCATGGAAACCAGCATCCCGGGAGCACGTGCCCAGGGGCTCTCGAAATGCATTGTCTGTTGGATTCGTTGGGGAGATTCCAGCCCCGTGGCCAGGAGTGGCCGTGTCCCCTGGGAACGTGGGCTCTTGGGGGGGGGCTTCAAGGACAGGAGAGAAGGAAAGGTCTGGGTGACTTTGCTGAGGTCGGAGTTAGGCAGGGATGGGCACAGGTGGCAGAGGCCAGCAGCACAGCCCTGGCACCCGGGGTGGGGCTTGGTCACTGGGCCACAGGATTTGGTAGACACCCCAGGAATGCAATGATGTCTATCTGGAAAACCCCAGGCCCCTTCGATGGCCACTGTGTGGAATAGGGGTTGGAAAGATGTTGTTTTCACAGCCGGGCAAGGTAGGGCTCACCTATAATCCCAGCACCAGGGAAGTGGGAGTAGGAGGAACTCAAGTTTAAGATCAGCTTAGGCTCTATAGTGAGCCCAGCTCAGAAATACAAACAAAAATATGGGTGCTCCACACAGGAAGAGGAGGTTACCCCTTTAGCAAATGAGTGCGTGTATATGCGCGTGTGTGTTCGTGTGCTTGAACTCAAGGCTTGACACTGTCCCCTTACCTTTTTGTTCAAGGCTGGCACTCTACCACTTGAGCCACAGCTTCTTTTCCAGCTTTTTGGTGGTTTATTGGAGATAAAAGCCTCACAGACTTTCCTGCCCATGCTGGCCTCAAACCAGGATCCTCAGGTCTCAGCCTCCTGAGTAGCTAGGATTAAGGCATAAGCCACCAGTGCCTGATTGTGACTCCCTTTAGTAAACTCTTTGAGGGGGAGAGCTTCCGGACACATACACCACTGTCTTTACATAAGCTGTCCACAGCCATCTCCCAGAACGCAGTTTGGTCATGGCATACTCCTATGCTACCCCTTAAACCCCAGATCCAGACTGGGAAAAGGTGACGTCCTCTGTGAAGGCATGGCTGGGCCCCTGGGGCAGGCAGGGGGTGGACCTGAGTCCCCAAGGCCCTCTCTGTCGCTGTCACAGTGGAACTTCCCCCTGCTGATGCTGGTGTGGAAGCTGGCGCCGGCCCTCAGCTGCGGGAACACGGCAGTGCTGAAGCCGGCCGAGCAGACGCCGCTCACCGCGCTCTACCTCGCCTCGCTGATAAAAGAGGTAAAGACGTCTGAAAGGAGAGTCTGGGGCCGTTCCCACCTATGCACCAGGCCGGGGTCACAGGATATAATGGGGCTGCAGGCGCAGGCTCCCTGTTTGGCTTGGCAGTTGTGTTTGTGGTCTGTGAACTAGAATGAACTAGAATGAATGCCGGTGGAGGAATTACCTAGGGTTTGGATGTTTGGTCAGGATAGAGGATGGCGGAAGCTCACTCAGGAAGGCATCAAACATGCTGCTGGGCTTGGCAGTGGCCATGTGCAGAATGGTCTTCTATTTCCCTCCCCCCCCATCTCTCTCATGGGCTAGAATTCAGGACCTGGGCGCCCAGTTTCCTGGTGGTTCATTGGAGATAAGAGTCTCACGGACTTTCCTGCCTGGGCTGGTTTTGAACCACAATCCTCAGATCTCAGCCTCCTGAGCAGCTAGGAGGATAGGCGGGAGCCACCAGCGCCTGGGGGGGCCTTGTGCACTGGCTGAGCCCCCTCCCCAAAGCCTCCCAGCACCTCCTGCTCGCTGCACAGCCAGCACCCTCCCCCCAAGAAGCCACAGTTCAGGGAAAGAGAGGCCCAAGGGGCCTCCCGCCTCTCAGCCCCAGCCGCCCGCCCGCTCCAGTTATCCATCATGGCTGTCCGGGTGCCAAGAGGTAGAAAGAAATGGGAGCAAAAAGGGGTGAGAGGAGAGGCCCCCACCACGTCACCCTGTGGCGCCCAGAGCCCCGCGCCGATCGCTCCCTGCCTTCCTCTGAGGTCGTCTCCATCTCTCCCTAGGTCGGGTTCCCTCCAGGCGTGGTGAACATCGTGCCAGGGTTCGGACCCACGGTGGGCGCGGCCATTTCGTCTCACCCCCAGATCAACAAGCTGGCCTTCACCGGATCCACAGAGGTAAGAACCCCCTTCATGGAGGAGGCCAAGGAAGGAGGCACCCCCACACACAGACACACCCCCAAGGCCACCTGAGAAGCTCAGAGGATTTTCTCTTCTTCCTATTACAAATGTTGGCCCTGTCTTAGAAAAAAATAATAATAATAATAAGTCACAAAACCACCGGTCTTGTTTCCAAACTAAATAAATACAGCAGGAGCCCCAGAGGCAAAGATTGAGATAAGATAAAATTTTAAAATGTCACGCATCCCTAGGGCGGACAACATCATAATTATGGCTAATTATGGCTAAGAGACAATGGAGCTCCGAGGAGGTGACGGAGCGGAGCGCAGATCTCCAGTGTTGCCCTTCCTATGTAAAGCGCTCCTCGAGATCAATAAAAAAACAAACCAGCCAGCAAGTGGAATGACAGGGAAAAAATAGACATCATTTTCCATCTGAATAACCAGTGCTTGTGCCTGAGTTCATTGGTAAGCAGGGAAATGCAAGGTCAAATAAATCAGGCTCAAGCCGGGTGCTGTGTGTGTAGATACAGAAGTTATCTGGGAACGTTCCCAAGACATTACTATATCCCTGTTATGTGGGTTCAGGGACAGAACAGCCCCCCTTCACCCCTACACAGCATTCCTGTAAGGAATTATCATGACAACCTTCTCTGCTTAAAAGAGAAATGAAGCCAGTGAAGCCAGTGGCTCACACCTGCCATCCTAGCTACGCAGGAGGCTGAGATCTGAGGATCGTGGTTCAAGGCCAATCCAGGCAGGAAAGCCTGTGAGACGTTTTTGTCTTCCCCAGGCTGGCTTGGAACCGGGGCTTCTGAGCTCTCAGCCTCCCGAGTGGCTCTGTGGGGCTTTGTCTGTGCGCTGTTGATCTTGTGTCTCCCTCCTGAAGGTTGGGAAGCTGGTGAAGGAAGCGGCCTCGCGGAGCAATCTGAAGAGGGTGACGCTGGAGCTGGGGGGCAAGAACCCCTGCATCGTGTGCGCAGACGCGGACTGTGAGTCCCCCCTCACTCTCAGAGCGACTGTAAATGTCCCCCACGCCCTGGCCGGGTTGATTGTCCTGCCCGGGCCCAGCGGCACTGTTCTCCGGGGGTCCGGCCTTCCCGCAGTCCACCGCGGGTGTGACCAGCACAGCGCTGCTCCAGTCCCACTGGGGGCCAGAAATTGTCTTGGAAAAGTGCCCGGGATGGGTGGTCGTGGGGTGCTGTCCCCTCCGTCCCCCCCAAGGTCACCACCCTGCCCCTGCAGGGCTGGAGCCGGGGGCCGGAGCAACGGCCCCTGCAGCTCCAGGGCCCTGTGGGCTCCAGGCTCTCTGTGGACGCCATCCTGGCGGGTCTAAGGAGGACAGCATGGCTCAGCCTGGAGACCAACAGCCCAGGCCAGGTGCTGGAGCTCACGCCTGTAATCCCAGCTACTTGAGGAGCTGAGATCTGAGAATCCAGGTTCAAAGCCAGCCCAGGCAGGGAAGCCCATGAGATTCTTATGTCAAGTAATAGAGCTCTAGCCTGCAGAGAAGAAGCCAAGGGACAGTGGTCAGGCCCTGAGTCCAAACCCCAGGACCGGCATGCACACGCACGCGCGTGCACACACACACTCACACACACACACACACCTGTGCCTGGTTGTGGTCACTGCCTGAGTTGCTTGTGCCCTCAGGAAAGCCACCTGCCCTGCAGCCCAGGACCGTGTGTGTCTAGATCCACGCAGATGACACAATATTAAGAACATTTGCTGTTCTTGGCTGCTGGGCCCCGAAGAGGGCGAAGGGACTCCCCGGGGCATCCGCCCCCCCCCGCCCCCGCGCACAGGGTGGCCCATCCAGAGGTGCGGCCTCTCTGTGTTGGATAGCCTCCCCCATCCGCCCCGTGGCGCCAGCCATTCTCTTCAGAGAGAACAGTGCTTGCCCAGTCCTTTCGCAGATAAGGCTGGAATTGCCAACACCCCCAGAGAAACACTGTCGACCGCACAAGTTCTTACTAAAGTGCCCATGACTGACTGATACTGCCCATCCCTTTTTCCCAGTTGGTTCCCAGTGGGAGAGAAGACAGGGCAGAGCTGGAGCCCCGGGGAAGGGCGTGGAGCTGGACAGTCCGTGTGGGGTAGACACACGTCAGCCTAGCTAATGGCTTTCCCAGTCACCGGGCAGGGCTCCCCGAGTCATCCAGTGGGGACACATCTTGACGATCCAAACTCCCAATTCCTCTCCCAGCCACACACAGGATGGGGTCTGTGTGTGTGTGTGTGTGTGTGTGTGTGTGTGTGTGTGTGTGTGTATTGGGGTCATTCTCTCCTTCTCCCAACGGGAACAACTAAATGCTGACATCATGCCAAGGCTACTTCACCCTGGTTGGGGGACAGGAAATGAATTAGCCATCTTCAAGGAGGGGCAGCATTAGGCTGGCACTCAGCCCTGGCACCCGCGGGGGAGGAGAGCCGCCTTGGAAAGCTGTCCTGTGACCCCCCCCAGCTCTGATCATACAGACAAACCCTGTGGTGTGGTGATCGCCATTTGCTCACAGCCAGGGTGGGGACCCCAGCCCAGGTACCCCACGAAGTAGCTTTCCAGCAGATTTTATTTTTCTTTCAGTTGCAGTCCTGAGGTTTGCTCAGGGAGCCCCAGCGGCTAGGCAGGGGCTTTGCCACTTGAGCCATGTCTCCACCCACCTGGCTGTTTTTGGCTTTAGTTACTTTTCAGATAGAACCTAGGACTTCAGTCCTCTTACCTCCCACACCGCTGGGATTACAGGTGTGCTCCATCCTGCCCGGTCAGGTTTTAGCAAGTGATTTTAGTTTACCATCTAGTCTGTAATTCAGATGCAGTACTTAGACACAGATAACTCTGTACCCCATAACCCCCTTTCCCTCCTTGTTTTAAATCTTTGGGCCATATTCAAGAACTATTTACTCCCGGTGGCCAGTTTGGCTTTATTATTTTGAGGTTTTTTTGGGTGTGTGTTTGTTTTTCTTTTTGTGGTGTCTGGACTAAGACTTGAACTCAAGGCCTGACACTGTCCCTTAGCTGTTGGGTTCAGGGCTGGTGCTCCACCTCTTGAATCACAGCTCTACTTCTGGCATTTTTTTCCCCTCGTTTACTGGGAGATAAGAGTCTCCTGGACTTTCCCACCTGGATTTGGCTTTGAACCTAAATCCTCAGACCTCAGCCTCCTGAGTAGCTAGGATTACAGAACATTTTGGCTTCCTTAGAAGTTCTTGCCAAATTGGCCTAGGGCAAAACAAGATGGCGGCAGGAACGCAGGGATGAGAGAGGAGGAAAGAGTTGCGACGCTGGGGGCCGGGGCAGATGAAAGGCACTGACAAGTCCTGCAGTCTGCGGACTCCTTTAACCTCCAGCTTGATGAACTTAAACATTCTCTCCCATTACCCCCGCTCCTCCCCCATGCCCAATCCTGTCCTCTTTGGGAAATAGGAAGACCAAAATAAATTTCCGACACTGGGCATCCGGGGGCTGTTTTCTCGGGGCAATTAGGCCTGCAGCTGTGAGGGCAGCAGGCGTGAATGAGCTCACGGCTTCCTCTTGCGGCCTCTCTCTGGCACAGTGGACTTGGCTGTGGAGTGCGCGCACCGCGGGGCGTTCTTCAATCAGGGCCAGTGCTGCACCGCCGCCTCCCGGGTGTTCGTGGAGGAGCAGATCTACCCCGAGTTCGTCCGGCGGAGCGTGGAGTATGCCAAGAAGAGGTCCGTGGGCGACCCCTTCGACGTGAGCACGGAGCAGGGCCCGCAGGTAACCGCGTGTCTCCATCTGGCCACCCTGCGCTGCTATTCAGACTTTTCTTTTTGGTGCTGCTCTTGGGATTTGAACTCATAGCCTGGGCAGAACCGTCCCTTCGCTTTCATGTTCAAGGCTGGTGCTCTACCACCTGAGCCACAGCTCCCCTTCCAGCTTTTTGGGGAGGGTTAACTGGAGAGAAGATTTTCCTGGATGTGTCTGCCCGGGCTGGCTTCGAACCCTGATCCTCAGCTCTCAGCCTCCCTGAACGGCCGGGATGACAAGTGTGAGCACACGGCGCGGGCCTGACCACACACACACATACAGAGCATCGTGCGGGTCTGCTGGGGGCCTGGCTCTAAACCAGTGTCGGTGGGGAGCAGGCGAGGTGGTCCCCCCCCTGGGGACCCCCAGTTATTATCCCTCAGTCTTGTTCCAAGGCTCCGGCCGGAGACTCGCGCTGTGGGTCTTTGTTTTCCCCTTTTCATCCCTGCTGCTGAGATCTTATTCCCCGAGGACTCACAACTGTCTGAATCCTCCCGTCCCCGGCCTGGACAGAGCTCGCCCGGCCCAGGTCCCAGCGCGTGGACTGCCGGCCGCGGGGGAGAAGGTCTGGTCCTGTTTGCTTGGCGACCAAGGAACATGGATTGGGCACATGTCACCGGCAACCTGGCCAGCCCCAGGCCTGGCAGACAGAGCCCTTGAGCCAATCTGGGGTGAGGGGGGTGCGCATATTTCCATGTTTGTGGGGTCTGTGTCTCACCCTGTCATCTTCTTTCCTGACAAGCCCTTCTGCCTGTTTGATTTCACCAATGTGCGCGGACGCACGCGGCAGGGAGCAGAGGATTCTCACGTGGGCTCAGAACTGCTTGCAGGACAGATGGAAGGTTCTAGAATGTGGTCAGGAGCCAGCTAAGACCTGGGGTTTCCAGAAGGCCCTTGTATGAGCTCCCCCAGACCCCCCTCCCCCACATCCATGGACAAATGCTTGGAATACTGGGAGTTTCCGGCCAAGGTTTGGTTCAGCCAGAGAAAAGCTGGGACGGGCTGTAGCCGCAGCCCGGGTGGTTATTTGTATTTGGTTTGGGGGAAGTGGAGGACATCTATAAAGGTTCAAGATGAAAGGACTTCCTCCATCCTCTCCGCCCTCCCCATCCGATGCCCCTCTTCCCTGAGGTGACTCCTCTAGGACTCTTTACTTCTAAATCACTTTAAGGGTACTAAGAAGCGAAGGTGATCATGGCGTCTGATTGCTCTTCCTTATTATTCTTTCATGTGAGGGAGGAAGGGAAAACAGGATTTCGTACTTGCTGGGCTTGGTGCTCTACCATTTGAGTCATGCCTCCAGTCCAGCATTTTGCTGCTTAATTGGAGATAGAGTCTTTTGTTGGTGGTGGTGGTGGTAGTGGTGGTGGTGGTGGTGGTCATGGGGCTTGAACTCAGGGCCCGGGCGCAGTCCCTGAGTTCTTTTGTTCAAGGTTAGTGTTCTACCACTTGAGCCACACTGTTCCACTTCCAACTTTTTTGGGGTTGTTTATAGGAAATCACAGTCTCACAGTCTCTTCTGGCCAGGCTGGCTTTGAGCCATGATCCTCGGATCTCCTGAGTAGCTAGGATTACAAGCATGAGCCACCAGCACCTGGTACCAGTCTTGTTTATTAAGATGGGGTCTTGATTGTTTTTTGGCCTAGGCTAGCTTCAAACTTTGATCCTCTTGGTCTCTACCATCCAAGTAGCTGTGATTACAGGGATGAGCTATTACCTGCCAAACATTTTTTTCTACTTCTTAGACCTCTTTGGACACAATATCAGAGATTAACTTCCTATGATATGACTTACCCAATTTTGTCTCCAAGTTTATTGTTTTTTCTTTGACTATGTGTCCAGTAATGTTGCCTTTTTCTTTAAAAAAAAAATAGTTATAACAGTCTTTCCATTGTTGGCATCTACAGGAAAGCCCTCAACACACTTTGTACATGAGAAACTTTAGAAAACCTTTTATCCTTTTATTCTTCATGGCTAGATCTGTGATCTAATTGGAACTTTCTTAGCAGAAGGTGTGGAGTATGGCTCAGACTGGTTATTTTATTCTTTGGAGGAGGGAAGAGATGGAGGTCTAGCCTGAAACTCATGATAAAGCCAGAGTGGCCTTGCATACTTAATCTTCCCTCCGTCTCATGAGTGCTGGGATTACAGGTGTGCACCACCATGCCTGGCTTCATTCTCAGTATTTTAAAACTGGATGCCTTGTCACAAGTTGGTCAGTCACATGACATACATAGTCCATACTCTCCCCTTCCAAGCAAACCAGCCTGCCCCTCGGGAACACACCACCATCTAAACACGCCATTAGGCCATGTGGTTTTCTATTTAACACCACAGGAAGAAAACCAGTTGTCCTTTAAGTTCAAAAGTTAATACAGCTCTGCCTCACCCAGCCCAAGAGAAAAGGGCTCCATCTGAATGGCCACGATCGCTGGGTGCCGGTGGCTCACGCCTGTAATCTCAGCTACTCGGGAGGCTGAGATCTGAGGATCACAGTCCAAAGCCACCTAGGGCAGAAGTCTATGAGATTTTTTTTTAATCTCCATTTAACCATCAAAAAGCCTGATGTAGAAGTACAGTTCAATGGCATTGAGCGAAAAAGCTCAGGGACAGTGACCAGGCCCTGAGTTCAAGCCCCAGGACCAGCACAGAATACATTTGGGTGTTTGTGCACACGCATGTGCATGTGAGTGAGATTTGAGCAGCACGCTTGCCATCTGTGAAGAAGAGCGGGCTGCCAGTGGTGTTGCTGAACTCAGCCGTGGCCCTGTGTTTTCTAGATAGACCAAGAGCAATTCGACAAGATCCTGGAGCTGATCGAGAGTGGGAAGCGGGAAGGGGCGAAGCTGGAATGCGGGGGCGCGGCCCTGCAGGACAGCGGGCTCTTCATCACGCCCACCGTCTTCTCCGAGGTCACCGACAACATGCGGCTTGCCCGGGAGGAGGTACGCATGCGCGGCCGGGCTCCAGCGCCGGGCTCCTACAAAGTGCTTCTTCCTGGGACCCGGGAATTTTAGGAGTATGCCCAGCACGAGCGGATCCTCTGTACCTTGGGCTCCTTGGGGATCCTGGATCCCCAGTGCCTCTGGCAAACGCCAAAGACTGCACCCCAACTTCATGATGCTGCCGTGTTCTAGTGCTTTCCAATGTTGCTCATCCACTCTGCGTGACAGTGCGCCCTCCTGTTCAGCCAGGCAGGGGAGAGTCATTGTCCAGCTGAGGATTCCAGGGCCATGACTGGGCTCCCCAAGGTGTCCCCAGTCTAACACACACACACACACACACATGCATGCATGCATACACACGCACACATACACATGCACACACATGCACACATGCATGCATGCACACACACATATACACATGCACACACATGCATGCATGCACACACACGCACACACACCACCCTTGATATGAGCCAGCCTTTAATTCTATCTTCTCTTTGCTGGGTTGTAGCCTGTGTGACTCTTGTTACTATGGCAACATGTTATGGAAACAGACCGCCTTTGCAAAGGGCCTACCCAAAGGTCACGCAGAGGCGCTGTCTTCTGTGTACCCCGATGCATATGAGCTACCCCAAAATCTCTCAGGATGGAGTCTTCAGAAATGGATGCCAAGAATCTTCATAGATATTTTTGGTGGTTTTATTTGTGTGTGTGTGTGTGTGCACACGCATGCGTGTGTGCATGTGCACGCGTGTGTACACTTGTGCCAGTCCTGAGGCTTGAACTCAGGGCCTGGGTGCTGTCCCTAAACTTCTTTTGCTCAAGGCTAGCATTCTACCACTTGAGCCACAGCACCACTTTTGGCTTTTTCTGAGTAGTTCATCAAAGATAAGAGACTCACGGACTTTCCTGCCCGGGCTGGCTTGGACCTGCGATGCTCAGATCTCAGCCTCCTGAGCAGCTAGGATGACAGGCGGGAGCCACCAGTGCCTGGCCGTGTTTATTTTTAAATGTGTGTCCCCTTTCAGTGTTCCCTTGAGATTTCAACCTTCAGGCAGCCAGGGGGTCTCTTTCTTCTCTATTCTTCATGGTTGTATGGGTGCGGGCTCTGGAATGTACGAAAATATCACAAGCCCCAGCAAACACCTGCCCAGATGTTCAGGGCTGCCCCCACCTTATTCTCAGTGCTCTTCTTGGACTTTCTCGTAGATTTTTGGACCAGTGCAGCCAATACTGAAGTTCAAAAGCATCGAAGAGGTAATTAAACGAGCCAATAACACCGACTACGGACTGACAGCGGCCATCTTCACCAAAAACCTGGACAAGGCCCTGAAGCTGGCGTCGGCCCTGGAGTCCGGGACAGTCTGGTGAGGCGAGCTTGTGTGTGTGTGTGTGTGTGTGTGTGTGTGTCCATGTCTGTGTCTGTTCTTACTTGCTTGTGAGATTCCTCTTCCACGGGCAGAGAGCCTCTGGTTGTGGTCCACTCTGACCTTCAGCAGTGCCTACGCCGTGTGGCTTTAGGCCTCTCATTTTCTATGAAGACACATGCAGGCGGAAGGATTTATCTTATTGTATTATCATATTGTTCCTAAGACCCTCCGCAGCTACCAAAAATTCATGGCTGCCCAAGTTCCTTATGTTCAAGGATCTAGTACCTGACTAGGTCTTCCTGTGTACTTCATTTTTGGGCCAGTCCTGGGCCTTGAACTCAGGACCTGGGCACTGTCCCTAAGCTTGTTCACTTAAGGCTAGCATTCTACTACTTTGAGCCACAGCACCATGTCCAGTTTTCTGGTGGTTCATTGGAGATAAAGAATCTCGCAGGGACTTTCCTGCCCGAGTTGGCTTCAAACCTCAATCCTCAGCTTTCAGCCTCCTGAGTAGCTAGGATTACAGGTGTGAGCCACTGGTGCCCCGTAAGAGTGCATTTCTTTTTGGACCATGTCTCCTCTTCCTAGTTTTTCTCTCCCATCCCCTACCCACAAGTTGTTACAGTTCATTTCCAGCAGTGTCCAGTGAGGACCACTGCTGCGTTCGTTCACCCTCTGTCCCTCCACTTCTGTGTAATGTGACTTTTTCCTGAGTATTTTCCATCAAGGTTGAGTGTAGCTGTGACTAGATCCTGCAGCCGGGCGTACTCACTGGCGAAGTATGGACACCGCCCTGCTCCCTGGCCGGGCTTTAGCTCTCCCGAACTTCCATTTTCCTTTTTTTCGTTGGGGGGGGGGGGTACCATGGCTTACACTTGCCCATTCCTCTGACTCTAAGCTCACAGTTGGCGCCCTACCACTTGAGCCACGCCTTCAGCCTGGCTTTATGCTGGTTATTTTGGAGATGGAATCTCTTGGACCTTTCTTCCTCAGGCTGGTTTTGAACTGTGATCCTCAGGCCTTGACTTCCTGAGTAGCTAGGATTACAGGTACAAGCCACAAGCACCCAATAAATGAGCCCATTTTAAAGAAGTGAATTGAAGCTCACTCAGAGAGGTTGGGTAAGTTAGAGTCACAGATTCTAGGAAGAGTCTGGGAGATCTATGTCACTTCAAAGCTAATTCCTGCCTCGGAGCTGGTGGCTCACACCTATAATCCCAGCTACACAGGAGGCTGAGAGCTAAGGATTGTGGTTCAAAGCCAGCCCAGGCAGGAAAGTCTGTGAAACTCTTGTCTCCAATGAACCACCAGAAAACCAGAAGTGGCGCTGTGGCTCAAAGTACTAGAGCGCTAGCCTTGAGCAAAAGAGCTCAGAGACAGCACCCAGGCCCTGAGTTCAAGCCCTACAACTGACAAAAATGCTAGAAATGGAGCTGTGGCTCAAGTGGTACAACATCACCCTTAAGCAAAAAAAAGCCAATCAAGAGCATGAGGCTTTGAGTTATAATAATAATAATAAATAAGCCTTTATTTCCTGAGCCCTAATTTCTCTGTATGTGTCTGTTGGGCTCTCTCTTTCTCTCTCTTTCTCTATCGCGCTCCCTCTCCCTCTCCCTCTCCCTTTCTCTCTCTCTGTCTCTCTGTCTCTGTCTCTGTCTCTCTCTCTCTCTCTCTCCCATACACACACACCAGTTTTTAGTCATCATTGCATGTGGCAGGCACTGGGCATGCTCATCATGGCCAGGAACTGGGGAGGGAAGTGGAGGCAGGATGGATTTTCTCAGGGAACTGAGCAATGTCTCCCTCTCTCTACAGGGTCAACTGCTACAATGCCCTCTATGCCCAGGCTCCGTTTGGTGGCTTTAAAATGTCGGGAAATGGCAGAGAACTGTAAGTCCCTTTCTTACCCCAAGTCTGCCAGCCATCGGTAGGGCAGTGACTCAAGCTTTAGCCCAGCGACTCCCCAATCCCCAGGCCTATCACAAAGGCTAGCAGTGGTCCTTTCCCTGAAGGCTGATCTGAATTCCTCCCTCCCTCCTTCCCTCTGGCCTCCCCGCTACAGCCTCCCCCAGAGCCGAGGCCGCCGTCAGACCCACCATGTCCCAGTTGGTTTGTGGCGTTGTGATCTTACTTTTGCTTAAAACAGCCTCCAACTGCAAACCCTCCAGCCTTCACCTCCTGAGTAGCTGGGATTATAGGCGGGAGCAGCCACACCTGGCTTGTTTGCAGACTCTTTTAATTTGTATGACAGGCTGGGCACCCATGGCTCAGACTTGTAATCCTAGCTACTCGGGAGGCTGAGACCTAAGGATCATGGTTCAAAGCCACCCCAGGGAAGGAAAGTTTGTGAGATCTAACTGCAAAAAGTTTCTGTCATTGTTGCTTTGGGGCCCTTTGGACAAGCCTTATGGCTCCCCCTAGTGGCCTGTGCTTGCTTTCTCCGAGACAGCAGCCTTGTCCTTGAGCCCTCCCCAGCGCAGGGTCAGAGGTCACCTTTGGAGCCACCTGCTCTGACCCCCTGTGCTGAGCCAGTCAGGTCTTGAAGCCAGGAGCCCAGCCCCTCTGCAGCACATCTCCCCATGGCCAGACTTGCATGAGAACTGCAGCCCCCCTCCCCAACCCCCGGGCCACCAAAGCAATGCCTGGAGGCTGGATCTGCAGGCAGACCCGTGGGTCCACTGACTCCTGGTTTGCACTGTTATAAGGGTGATCCACTGCTTGGTTTCCTTCCTACCACCCTGGGGGCATCTTCAGGCCCCTTAGAGACCCTGGCAGAGAGCAGAGCGTGGTGATCACACACTGAATGCAGACTCTGCTCTCAGACTGCAGTTAGCAGCAGCACACAGGGAGGTTTGGGGTCCTTTTTTTTCTGTTTTAAGTTTATTTGGATTCCTGGACGATACTTTACCAAAGTTTTTGATAAAACAAATCAATAAATAAAGGAATTCCATAAACTGGATGTCAGTGACTCCTGCCTGTATGAGCGACTCAGAAGGCCAAGATCTGAGGATCTCGGTTCAAAGCCAGTCCAAGCAGGAAAGTCTGAAGGACTCTTATCTCCAATTGACCAGAAAAAAGCTGGAAGGGGAAGCGTGGCTCAAGTGGTAGGCACTAGCTTTGAGCAACATATTAAAAAACAACAACAACAACAACTCAAGAACAGCACCTAGGCCCTGAGTTCAAGTCCCAGAAATGGCATGAAGGAGGTTTGTGGACACATCATGTCCTCTCTATCCTTCCCTGCTAACGTCTGCACCCCGGCCCCAGCCCCGGGCCTCTGCGCTCCCCTCGGGCACACCCAGCCCTCTCTCCTGCACCCTACTTGTTTTAATACCAAGTATTTATCCCCAAGACAAGCCATAGTTCTTCTGAGGATTCCAAAAGCATCCTATACAAACAGCTTTATGCTTATTCTATTTATGTATGCATTTATTTACTTTTGTGGGTTGTGGGACTTGAACTCAGGTCCTGGGCATTGTCTTTGAGCTTTTTCCATTCAAAGCTAGCACTCTACCACTTTGAGCCACAGTACCACTTCCAGTTTTCCAGTGGTTCATTGGAGGTAAGCGTCCCACACAAGACTTTCCTGCCCATGCTGGCTTTGAACTGCGATCCTCAGATCTCTGCCTCTTGAGTAGCTGGGATTACAGGTGTGAGCCACCAATATCCACCTCACCTTGGTATTTAAAATTACATTTCCAATTACCCAAGCTCATTAGTGGCATCATAATCCCAGCCTCTCCTTCTAGCAAGACGTCATTCACAATTTCCCTTTTCTCAAGATCCCCAAGTTACCCGGAAGAGTAATCAGGCATTAGAATAACTCCCCAGAAACTGTGTGTGACCTGTTCCCTCTCCTGTCATCTCAGAGGTGAATACGCGCTGGCCGAATACACCGAAGTCAAAACTGTCACCATCAAACTCGACGACAAGAACGCCTGAAAGAGAAGGCAGGCTCCCGGCTCAGACACCAGATGACCGAAGGTGGCCAATGAAAAGCGCAAGGAAACCATCTGCCGTCTGCCCTCCGCCCCCTTTCCCTAGACCCTCGCTTCCGAACGCTCCCACGCTACCTACCGGAGCTGAATAGTTTTCAATCTCCTCCTCTTGTTCTGTTACTACTCAAGCTCTGGATGCCCACCGTCAGGCTGGGTGTGGGAGATCACTCCTGCCTGACGGGGGAGCTGTGGAGCCGTTTCTGAGTGCGCTTCTGGGGCAGGTGTTGGGAGGTGGCAAGCTCTGTGAATGCAACCTGGTATTAGATGTGTCCAGATGCGGCTTCTGGTTAGAATTTGGAAGGGTAGACCCATCCGGAGGAAAGGATTAGCACTGAGATGAAAACACATACATAAGTGAAAGGGCTTGGTGGATGTGATGCAGGAATCTTCAGGGGGAGGGCGTCCTGGGGCCTGGGCATGCATACAGGTGTGGACCTTGAGGACTGCCATTGACATTGACCTTGAGGTTCACCTTGAGACGAATCCAGCCTTTGGAATAGGATCAAGCTAAAGGACTCACTCTAAAATAGTGTCCCGGGGTACCTTCACACGGGCACTTTCTTAGAGGGAGGACATCTTTGCTGTTGACCTAGTATCCTCGCGCCACAATGACAGAACAAATGTTAAGAAATGAGTAGGCTCCAGCGCTGACCAATCAGAGTCATAATCACCTTTTTTTTTCTTTTTTACAAAACCTGTGCACCACTACCACCTTGGATAGTCCATTACAATGAGCCTTTGTGCTTTGCATACTTACCCACGGTTCCATTGTTCATTTTGGCTAGTGAAATGCACACACTGGAAAGGCGAGGCTTATAATACAGCTCTGCTTTTTGAAAGTCCCATCCAGACATTCATTTCTGATGAGTTAGTACCACCTAGATGACATGGAGGAACTGTGGGGGAACCCCCCCCATTATTCCACTAAGTGATGAGTTTTGCTTTTCCTCTAGGTATCTGCAAAATGATGTGTAAGTAAGTTCCCATGTTAACTCCGGGAGCCAAAAGTACTCGCCTACAGCTTTAAACAGCAAACCAAACAAACCGGGTTCATTCAGGTTCTTTTACTGTTATTAACTAATACTTTTCTTACCGGAGAAAGGGGTGCTTGTATCTGAGGATTAATTTGGAGTGATAATAGTACCGAAACATTACAGTCAGAAGCAGTGTGTGTGTAGAGAAAAATCGTATTTGAATTAAGGTTCTCTTCCTTGCCAGAGATAAATAATTCACCTTTCTCCATTAGAAACATTTATTGCTTTTATTACCAGTAAAGTTGTTAAATCGAGATTTCTCCTCATCCCCAAAGCTCCCTTTCAAAGTAGTGCATTAGACAGTTTCTGTTCTGTATGATAATGCCTTTAATATGGAATTCAACCTTATTTATAATGGCTATAGTTAATGTATCTTTTTATAGCTGTAAGTACACAGAGGTGGTATATTTGACCTTCTGTAATATACTGTATCTAGAAACACAAAGCTATATAATGTTAGATTTCACTCCTTTTAAAATTTACCCACATGGGATGGTTTTACATGTGGCAATGCTGATTCTAACTGGAGACCATGTTCAACAATGATAAATAAAATGGGGTATTTGAGAAATGTGATTTTTTTTAACTGAAAGATCAAACTTATTGCAGTGTGATGGTATTTCTCTTTTTAGGAACTCCTGTACAGCATGACTTGAATAAAATGATAGTTCCCTAGTTATCCAGGCTCTGGGATTGAGATGAGTATAAAACCCATTTCTGGCCCAGCACCTGTGCCTGACAGCTGAGGATCGAGGTTCAAAGCCAGCCTGGACAGGGAAATCTGGAGCCTCCTATCTCCAATTAAACACCAAAAAGACAGAAGTAGAGCTATGACACAAGTAGAAGAGTGCCGACTTTTGAGTGAAAATGCCCAGGCCCTGAGTGCAAGTTCTAGTGCGCGCGCGCACACACACGCACACACACACACACACACACACACACAGGAAACTGAATTAGATCCTCTCCATATGCATTTACGAGTATACTGATATGCTTTGAAACATCTCATGTCTCAATCCAGATGTGACCAGAAAACCATAGAAAAATGACATTTCCTTGCCTTACTAAACTGTCGCTGCTCAAAGGAAGCCACTCTGGGGACAGCAGCCAGGATGTGTGGTGTGTGTGTGTGTGTGTGTGTGTGTGTGTGTGTGCCCTCCCCTTTGAGATGCCCTGGCTGTTTATGTTGGCAGATGGAACTTTTGTAATGTCTTGGCTCCTTGCGCCAAGCCCTGTGGTTGACTGTGCTTAGAGATGGAGAATGAGGAGTATTTAAAGAATTGTTCAAAGGGAGATTATCAGTCAGGTGCCGGTGGCTCCCACCTGTCATCCTAGCTGCTCAGAAAGCTGAGATCTAAGGATTGTGGTTTGAAGCCAGCCTGAGGTAAAAAGCCCATGGGACTCCCCCAGAAAACAACAGCAAGAAACAGTGGAAGGGGAGGGAGATGATCAGAAAACACAGAGTTCCGGATGGAGAAACAATCAGATATCTCAAGGGGAGCAGTCACCCACCATGCGCACCCGTCCATAACCAGAAAAGTAAATTCAACTTCGTGGGGTGATTCAAACTCACCCCACCTTGGGAAGCCATCTGAGGTTGCTGAAAAGCCAGGTGAGGTGCCCGGGAAAGAAAGAGGAGCGTGGATCAGCAGGGATAAGGAAGAAAAGACAAAGGGCGTCAATAGTGTTATCAATTTCCTCTCTAAGTTTGGGATTAGCACTTGCCTAATAAGTAGAGCTGCATTTTTGGGGGGTGGTGAGTGGGTCCTGTGTTCCAGATGGCTTTCTTCACTGGATACACTTCCAGCCTATTCCCAGGCTCAGTTACACCCGGCAGGGCGTTGGGGGGGGGTGCTCACACCTGCCCTTCTAGCCACACAGGAGGCGAAGTTCTGGGGACCAAGGTTCAAAGTCAGCCCCGGGGAAGGAAAGTTTGTGAGACTCCTATCTCCAATTCACTACCAAAAAGCCAGAGATGGAGCTGTGCCTCGAGTGGTAGAGCACCAGCCTTGAGTGAAATAAAGCTAAGGGACAGAGTCCAGGCCCTGAGTTCAAACCCCCATGCCTGTCCCCAAAGTTCCAATGCTTCTAGAGGCCCTGGCTGTGCGGGTCCGGGTCCCGGGCCTGCAGTTCCTCCCCGCGGCGCTAGGTGTCGCCGCGCCGCGCCCCGCAGGCGCCACGGGCCGGGGGCGGAGCCCACCCCGCAAACTTCCCGGGATTTTAAGAGCAAGCAAACTGCTGCCCGCTGCGCACCGGCAGGAGGACCTCGGTAGGGAGGACGGGATTGCACAGATGCAGCTGCCCTTTTGGATAGGTGTTGGGATGTCAGAAGAGCAAGCCAGGGGGGCGCGGCGGGGTGGGGGCGCGGCCGGGGGGGGAGGCGGAGGGGGGGGGGGAGGGGGGTTGCATGGCGACCTTCTCCATTCTGGCAATGGTCCAGCGGTGACACGGGACATCAGGTGACAAGAGCTGAGTCTGCCCGTGTGTAGACGCACCTGCTCCTCTGAGCCGGGTTCTCTTTCCCTGGCGCCAGTGGTGTTTGGGGGTGCATTTGCTGCTGGGTCTCGGGGTACTGCACGTGGGAACATGACCCGTGGCCTGCATCCCACAGAATGCTGTTTACCTCCCCGCCAGCGGACAATCAAACACGATTCGTGATCATAAACTCCATCGCAGGCCTGGGAAGGTGGCTCAGGGGTAGAGTGCTTGCCTGGTGCGCGCCAAGCCCTGGGTTCGATTCCTCAGTACCACACACACAGAAAAAACTGGAAGTGGCGCTGTGGCTCAAGTGGTAGAGTGCTAGTCTTGAGCAAAAGAAGCTCAGGGACAGCGCCCAGGCCCTGAGTTCAAGCCCCAGGACTGGGGGCGGGTGGAGAGGGGGGAGGGAACTCAATGCCTATCCCATAAAATGAAGAAAGTCGAGAAAAGGGAGAATGAGGAAAGAGGTGACATTTGGTGCACTGCATTCAGAAACCGCTTTGTTGAATCCCAGCTAGTTGGGAGGCAGAAATAAGGAGGATCAAAGTTAGAGGCCAGCTCCAGCATTAAAAAAAAAAATGTTAGCAAGTCCTCAAACCCGGTTCCTTGGCGCAAAACCAGCTATGCAGACGGCCTGATTCTGGAGGACAAGGAAGGAGGAAGAGTATCTGAAAAACTATAGCAAAAAAAGAAGGAGGGAGGGGAGAGCATGTGTGTGGAGGCATGGTTTGAGTGGTAGAGCCCCTGCCCAGCAAGCACGAAAGCCCTGAGTTCGGATCCCAGGAACGCACACACACATTGTGTATAGATACATATTCAAATAGACCCGGTATGCGCGTCCACACACAGCTACATACGCGTAGCTCGCGTGGCAAAGGCAGTGTGTACAACCGTCACACTGGCAGGATGCACGCGTGTCTCCTCGCTAAACGCTGCGCACGAATGGACAGGCCACCTTTAAAAACATGACCACCAGAGTAGAGTGTCCGGTGGACGTGTCCACGGGCACCTGCCCACTGCCTGCCGCTCGGGACACCCGACCGATCTTGCGTGGTGCCTGGTCCCCCAGCACCAGAACAGAGGGGACCCCCACACCCCCCCATCCTGGACAGGACTCCAGCCCTACAGCCCCCACCACCAGGGTCCTGGTGTCTCTTGGGGCACAAGCGGTGACGTGGATCGCTTCTATTTCACAGCTAGGGAAACTGAGGCAGGGCCTCCAGGTGGGGGGGGGCGTCCAGGCGTGC